AATTTCATAAATGTAACGATATTTATTCACTTTTTATTAGAAGCTTTTATTAAATTAATGCAATTTTATAAATCATTTATAAACTTAGCATATCATTGGAAAAGTAACCTGCTTTAATTCAGAAACTCTAGCTCCTAAATTAAATGTAAATTCCAAGGACAACTTTATAAATTGAATTTCACTAAATCATCCAAAACATTAATAAAATCTAATCTGTTACCATTTGAATAAGTATCATATTATAAATAAATAACAAATAAATCATATTAATGCCTACGGAATAATAAATGTGAGAATGTGATAATCAAACAATTTCAGAAATTTTGTATTATAAATATCTTTCAGAAGCCATTATATTGAAATTGATGTAGAGAAGAATATATAGCTTAAAGAATAGTTTGAGAAAAGATGGATAGTAAATTTAACAAATAAGGTTGATGGATCGTTAGAATTAGATTTATGTATATATACAAAATTAGGAATTGAGACTTGTATAATAAAAGTGGAATAAGTAGTTTTATTTTGACTGGACGATTGATAATGAAAGGCATCTCATGATTATGAAAAAAACTTTTACTAATATGCATAAATTATATATTGATTTATATAAGAGAAGTGAAACAATTGAGGTTGAAGATAATTTGTATCTTGTTCAACGAATAGTAAATGGGTAAACCAATTTATATATATATTTGGAGTGAAAGTTTCACTATAGATTTTTTTAATAGATAATAGTGCTGTGAATAAATTCTGTTAGATGAAATAAGTCTTAAACTGGGTTTCCTGCACATTTACCACTGCTAATAGACCAGAATGTAATGCATTTGAGTATAGTTTAGTTGGTTGGAAATAAAATTAGTATTTTCATAATCTTACATAACCTCACAATAAATATATTAGATCCATCGAAGTACAAGTCTAATTAATGAATAATTTTTTTTCAGAATATTTAACACTTTTTTTTAACAAATCCACTCTATCTAATCAAACATTTAATGAATATAAACAAAAATTCATTTATTTTATATTCATTTTAATTTAATTACGTTCAGAGATTTTTTGCATAGAATTAAGATGAAATGAATTTTAGTGCAAAAGAAGAATTCATTCTTTTTTTAAAATACAATTAATATGCAAAAAGAAATAATTGACAAATGTCTAAATGGATAATGAAAAGTTGTTTCTTCAATTTTTGTAATGCTAATAACAGGATTAATATTAATAAGATGCCATAATTATAAATTAAAAAGCTAATAAGCTTTCAAAAAAAAACTAAGAGAATTAAACTAGAATTTTAGAAAAAATATACTAAGAAAATAGTATAAAGTTTAAGTGATTAATTTTCAACTAAGCAGTAACTGCAAGTAGTAAAATTCATAGTATATCTAAATTGAAAGTGTATTCAAATTAAATGAAATAAAAAAACAATAACTTCTTAATTTATCTAATAAAAGCTTAGTTTTCAAAGAGAAAATGAAATTTCATAATTAAGAAGGGTGTTACATTTATCCTATTTACCCTTAATGATATAATTATTAAAGTAAATAACTAAATAAATTCAACATCAAATCCTCATTAATAATGGGATAAACATATTTTAAATTAAGTGTTTAGTATTTTATTCTTGATGATAATTTCAATAAAAATAATTAAATTTATTTTATACACAACTTATTGCATTATTGAAATATATACATTATGTATTTGATATTTTTTTTACCATAAAAATAATTTGTTTAATTTTGTAAACTAATCCAAATGGTTTAATAAATGTTCTCACATTTCTAAGATTTATTGTGTGATGCTAATTAATTCTTCATTATAAAAATTTAATTAATTTATCATTCATTATAAAATTAATTGAGGGAATTACAAAACTTGTTCGTTAATTTTTTTTGTGTATTTAAGGAAATAAAAATGATTTAGCAACTTAATATTAAAAGAAATTGAATATGATTTTTTGTCTTTTGCCATAAATATTTGGAATTAAAGTATGAAATTATATAATACCTAGCATACTAAGATAGAGTTATTAATAAATGGGTGTATTTTTGAATTAAAATTTGAAAAAGGTGAATATTTAATGAAGTCAACATCAACCCTATCGCTTCGAGGAGGAGGATGTGTAGGATAAAAAATAAAACCAAAAATTCAAATGTAAACCACGATTCCAATTGATTACAAATAAAAAATGAAATTCAATAGTTAAGAGCTTGTGGATAAATGTGATTAACTTTAAGACAATTTTTCTAGGAATGATATAATGATTTCATTATAATGGTTTTCTGATAATCGATATTGGATTAGTGAAATTTGTAAAAATGACAATTTTATTTTAATGCTCTATGATTTGGCATTAGAATAATTTAGATAGCTTATTTCAGTTATATCAGTTTATTTAAGAGGATCAGGTTGTCTTTGTTATTATGTTTTGGAAGTTTGTAATGATTTATTATTAATAATATATACTTATTAGCTTAACGATGAAAAACGCTTTCTTTTGGTTGAAGTGCATGATGAATTATTGTCTTAGATTGATATTATTCAGAAAGATATTGAAGCTCATTAAAATTTTTGGTCAAATGGACTAGAGTTTTAGATAACTCTGATAAAAATAGTCTTAATAAATAGTAAGACAAACACTAAGGAATAATAGAATATATTGAAATCAATTGCTTCCTCGGCATTTTCTTCTTTATTATCACTTTCGATAAGTGAAAATTTTATGAATGCCTTATTTGATTTTGCAAAATATTTGCTGATTGAAAAATACAATCAATTTTCTTACCCTATTCAAACATATCAAATATATTACTTCTTTTTTCTCTTAAAATGGAGCATTATAAAAAATATTCAAGAATAGAATTTAGTAAATAAATAAATTGCAAATCTTTAGTTAGGATATTAATAATATGTGCAGAATTCAGATAATTGGATAGTTCACTTTTGTTGGATAAATGCTATCTCAGATTTGATTTCATATAGGTAAATTATATCAAAAACCATGTTCTTAAAAAATTAAGATGATATGAAATAAAAATAGTTATGGAATGAATTAATTAAACTAGATATTATTTAGGTATTGCCTTATGATAAATATCTTGGGAAAGTAAATAATAATTGCTCCTTTAAGTCTAT